TATTCATTAATTTATTTACACGCGACAGCGTACCGAGATTCAGGGAATGCGCGCTCCCTAACAAAATTTGGAAAAACTTTATCCATTATTAATTTTAATTAACTAGCCCGAGACTCTAAAACTAAGTCGACTGCTCAATGTGAAACTCAAGGGAGAACTGACTTTTTCGAGATCTTTCCCGAATTCGACATCTCGCTTCGACACGCCCATTTCTTGGGTCCAGAAGTTTCTGTTCTTATCTTATTGGCGGGAACCCTGAATGTCGGGACGCTTTGGCATAACTATGCCATGTTAATAATTACCTAATTGACTGGACTTACATTTATATACATGATTCTGTGACTAGGCTTACAAACAACCCTATACCTTCCTCTTGTAACTCCGCATAGCAATACGGGACGGATTAGCCATCTCATTTAATATATTTTTAATAGCTTGGAAAATCCGTCTAAAAACCAGCTATTTTACTTTCTTTTCCTCACAACATTCTAACAACTTATTCTTAGAATTACTACGTTTTTTGGAATGCATTTCGCGCGTTATTTGAAATATCGGTTTTTCTCTTTATACTAGATGCTCAACACATGGCCCAGACTTTAAGTGCACTTGTTCAAAAAATATTGCCAAATTTCTCCGAAGGACGACGTTACACTCACTTGAGAACCCTCAATTTTCAATAATTAGTGTTGACTGAAATATTTTACTCTTTGGCCCATCCGTTGCGAGAACTAACAAATAAATTACTACGCGACCCGGCTCTTGTTACATTGGTAACGAAAAATCACAAAATTTTTATGACCAATATTTATGACTCATTTACCATGAACAGTGACAAACCGTGTCATCGCTGATTGGTTGAATAGAATCTCGTGAAAAATTACATCAATCACAGCCGGTGAAACAGAATGTTTCATTTCAATTTTACCGAAATTTAATTCCCAACATGAAAGAAACAAAATTATTGTACCAAACAATATTAGGTACTAGTCAGGTGGCTTATAATCATTTATGAAGGCTCTGTATACAGGGTGTCCCAGAATAAGACCACAGATTCGTGGACTCAAAATAGGCAAATCTAGGCTAATTCATCTATATCCGAAATCGCTTCGTTTGGCCGCTAGATGGCCTAAAAGTTCGTGAAAATTTTTTGAATTTTGTAAATAACTCGAGTACATATTAATCGATTTTGATTATTTTTTCGGTGTGGATTTTTGCTTTCCATATACACATTTTGGTGTTATACAGAGTGTTTTCTTAAATCTAGAACTCCTACAAAATGAATGTATGTTCATAACTTTTTCCTCTTTCGGGCAATAATGACAACTACTTTTAATTTCATAGGACATACCATTTGAAAGTTTTTGGGTCTCCTGTAAAATTTTGATTAAATAAGCGGTTTGGGTACAAAATTTTTTTTTATGTCTACATTATTTATATTGACACCTATATTACAATACTTAGCAAAGTGCTAGTAGGCACTGATTTTGTAGGTTGACTGTAATTTCAGTTTGATCTTTAAGTCATTGTACCTGCAAATTCGTAATGAGTGTCTACGACTATAAGATATACCGCGTCTTAGTTTATTTTTCGATATTTATACACATACAACGAATTAGAATTATTTGCAATGTGCCTAATTTTATTCAAATAATCAAATACAACGCATTGATAGCATTATTATTGATCCTGTTATTCTACCCAATAGACTGAATGGGGAATTTTATTTAGAATTTTTGCGCACTTTACTCAAGTTATTGGGAGGTGTGCGTTATTACTCAGAGCTAACAAGTGGTTTATGCATGATGGAGCTCCACCACATTTCACTGTAAATGTCCAGCAGTACCTGAACCAAAGATACCCTCGTCGATGGATCGGTAGAAAGGATAATGCTCCTGTTAACTGGCCTTTACGGTTACTAGACTTAACACCTTGCGACTGTTATCTTTGGGGCACTCTGAAAACAACAGTGTATGCTTCCACATCTAACACTGAAGAAGAGTTGTGCCATAAATGTTTTAAAAAATTACCCTCAAGAACTGTAAAGGGTGTCTTAACTTTCTTCGCTGAATTAACCTTTGGTTGTAGAAACAACTGTGGTCATTTTGAACAGTTTTTATAATAAATTGTACTAAATTTACTAACATCAACATTGTTACTTTTATCTCCAGCATTTTTTATTGTATTTGATTGTTTTTACTAGTTATCTAAATAAAATTAGGTTGTAAATAATTCTAATTCGTCGTATGCATGTGTATCCATATCGAAAAACGAAGTAACATGTTGTATATCTTACCGTAGTAAATACTCATTAAGAATTGGCAGGTACAATCACTTAAAGATCAAATTTAAATTACACCTACAAAATCAGTGCCTACTAGCACTTTGCACTTTGTTAAGTATTGTAATATGGGTAGCAAGATAATGTAGATATCAATCAAAATTCTGCAAGAGTTCCAAAAGCTTTCAAATGGTATCACCTATCAAACTAAATAGTTGTAATTATTGACCGAAAGAAAAAAAAGTTATGATGTACACATCAATTCGTAGGAGTTGTACGTTTTAAAAAACACTTTATACAGTGTATCCTACCGGGAATCGCAGCGATCTAGAAAAGTACTTATTTGAAAAATTTAAAAATGTGGCAACTTATAAAAGTCAGTGAGGGAAACGCAACTAAAATTTTCAAGGTCACGGTACTTCCGGTTGTACCGGAAGTCGACACCATCTTCGTTATTTTAAATGGAACACCATATATATTTTTGCATATTTCGATTCTACTTGAAATTTTAAGGTCACTTTGTATAACAAACCTAGTTCCTAAAATTTATAGTTTTTGAAATATCGACATTTTCATGAAAAATTTGACAGGTGAAAGGTTGTGCGGGATCCTTTGTATTTTATTCTAGCAACTAGATATCAATTTGAGATTCGGTATGTGAGTAGAACACGTATGAAGCAACCTTACACAATATCCATAAATTAGAAAATATGATACCGAGTGTTTAATTTTCGACTGCACATTTTGATAACTTCAAAGAGTTATAACTTTGTTAACTTAAATGGAACACCCTGTATTTTTTTGGCCTATTTTGTGCAGTAATTAATTATCTTTCACGTGATGTAGGCATGTAGGGGCTGTGGTTACAACTTTTTGAGATAATTGCAATTTTTACGATTATTTTTTAATTTTGACATAATTTTATCAAGGGGTCTATGAGTACGAACAATCGTTATTGACATTCAAACTGTTAATCAACGAACTGTCAAATTATTATTTGTAGTTTATAGTGTGTAGTAACATTTTACTAATGAGATTTTTTTAATTTGTTTATTATTTACGGACAAAGTAACAACGCAATATCAAAAACCCTATACATCTGCAGCGTGATATCCAAACAAAGTAAACCCCTAAAGCGGAGTATAGTAAAGCGTCTGACAGAAAATTTTTGAAATTTGCGAACCGTTTGCTTTATTCACATATGTAGTTGGATATGTCCTAAAGTAATTAGAATATTGAAATTTCGACATTCTAACTATCAACAACAGGTACTCCTCTGTCTGGTTTTATTATGACAGAGTCGAAATGTCAAAAAGTTTCTACCAGACGCTTTACTATACTCTGCTTTAGGGGTTTTCTTTGTCTGGATATCGCGCTGCAAATGTATCACGTTTATAAAGGTAGGTATATAAAGATTGAAAAAGATAATAATGCTATAGAGATAAATACTGTTTTAAAAACGTGCAGGAGCTTTACAAAATATTAGTACGAAGTTCATTAATCTAACGTTATTTTCATTGTTATATTTATCAGCGGTTTAAATTATTGCACTAATTGTAACTGAAAACCTTACGTCTTATCTACACTGATAATAATTTATATACTTATATAAAAAAAGCTATCATATTTAATGCAATTCATACTGTGGGCGGTACTGTTTGTTAATTAATCTGACTGGAGCTATGGCAGCAAAAATGTTGAAAGATTTGCCAGGGGGCACTAAAGTGCCTGCTTGGCAGGTGAGAATACTAGTAACTTTAGTAGTATTAAAAATGAAAATGCTCCAAGGAATCTGTGGATTTCAACAATACTATACCTATTTTATTTAACAAATTATACACAAAAAATGTATTTTCTTCTCTCTAACTGTTGTTAATTTCTTTAAACGGACTATTTTGAAAATACAACTCAAAAAAAATACTAGCACTCAGTAAATATTTTTTTAAAGTAAAAAATCACTCAAAGTTGTGTGTTTTAGAGTGGTTTTCGAAACTAGAATATCCGCCCTCAGAGACGTTTCAAAAAAACTTTTATGAATAGTTAATATTTGATTTAAAAAATATCATATATTGTTCGGGTTATTTACATCATATACCTACTAATCGAAATAAATGAAATAGACCCTTGAGTTTGGAAACCCATATTAAGAAAATGTAGCCTCACTATTACTTTATTGCGTGCTAAAATTTCAGTTAGTTTCGTAATCCCAGTTTTTAGTTTATTAATGAAAATGTTGAAAAAATCACGGTTTTCTGCCCACAAAATTGATATATCTCACTTTAACCCGTCGTAATTTTTATTAATTGATAAAAAATTCCAAAGTTTTACTGGTCATTTGTCTCAAAAGCTCTTTTTTTTATTTTTAAACAAAATAGAAGGGAGTGCTATCTCTATATCTATTGCATTCTTTAAAAAAGAAAAAAACAGATTCAAGTAGTAAATAATTGTAAACAACGATCTGAAAAAAGGTTGAAAATTCACTCCGGTTTCGAATTTCGAAAAACAAATACTTCTCCAAAAAGTTCACCCATTCCACGCAACTATTCAAAGATAGACAAAATTTAAAGTCAATTTATTAAAGAAGTCACTCTAGGACAACTTCTCAATAGGACCTTTGCGGACTCATCAAGCAATGCAATTGAACGTCAACTCTCATTACCAAAATCTCCGACATTTTGTCATATTTGAAGTTATATATTATAACTTATTAAGCTCTTTTAACGCAATCTGAAGTTTTGCTCTTTATTTTCAATTTCACATATGTTTTATAATTATTTTAAAAAATGTGCGTCATTTCTCCTAGATTTACCCTACTCGTAAATCTATTTATTAACATCCAAGCTATCTTTGAAGTATGGTCTATTCATTCTCGATACCCTGTATATTAAGGAATATAAGTTGGTTGAGCTTGAGACAGTCAACTGCGTTTTTGTTTAAACAAGAGTACAGTTTTATGGAGAATTAAATTTTAAATTATATTATATGAAACCATAAAAGTCTGGACCCGAAAGAACAAAATTCCAGTGCACTACTCTGAAACAAATATGATTAAAATTTGATTTTAATAAATTATCTTTGATGGCGCTCAGAGAAGTCATTTTATTTCTTTCTGGTACTCTACCAGTCCCTGAATTTATAGAACCGTAGTCCAAAAGCTCTGTATATTCTGTACAAGTTTTATAAAGGTCAGCGGGATTTGTACTAACTACATTATTATATTTTTCAATATTTCAAGTCATCGCATTAAGTGGATGATTTACACTTTAACTATTTATTTATAACAATGTTTTAGATGTACCGCATCAATGATAGTAAAATAGATATGTACATATAGGTATATAAAAGGGTTACAGTAATTTAGTTCAATTTAAATCGTGAGGGTATAGTGTTGGTTAGTTAATTTTGCTAAAGCTATGGCAGCGAAAATATTTAAGGATTTGCCAGGAGGGCTAAAGATGCCCGCCATTGAAATTGGTACTTGGCAGGTAAGAATGATAGTTTATTTTATAGTATTATTAATAAAATATTAATAATTTTAATTTGTGACATTTTTAATTACTTTTTATTTAGTTTTCATGTGTTAAAAAGCTTATAGTATATAATAGCTTATAGAGCTTATATAGAATTATCTACTTTCTCAATAATGAGTTATTTCTTGTTAGGCAAAACTTGAAAATTATTTGTTTTCTGAATTAAAATAAAGTCAACTGTTGACTAACCCTTTTGATCAAAGGGGTTATTTATTTAAAATTTATCATTTCGTGTCAGTGTGACAGAAATACCCAAAAAAAAAGTATCCTATTTGATATAATAGGTTTTCGTTTTAGTTTGTTTTGAAAAGTCGGAATAAGTTCAGAAGATGAAAGTAGATAGATTTTATTTATTAATTTATTTATTTATTTAGACTAAACTATCCAACAGGAACAAGTCCTAATTACAGGATAGTGAGAAGAAGAAAAAATATATATAAACATAAACAGGTAATACAACAAAAATACAGAGTATATATATATATATTGTGATGATTCAATTGTGACAAATATCTTTGTTCTGTTTTGTGTATTGGTGTGTATTAGTATATAGAGCGCCAGTAAAATGTTGTAACTTTTTCTATTAATTCATGAAATATAATTGATCACTTACCAGGCTAGCTTTTCTCTCAGGATATCACTCAATATAATTTAAATGGTAATTCAAAGATGAAAATGGTTTTAGTATTCGGGATTTAAAATTAACTTATAATTTTATTAATGTTTTCCTTTTTTTTTTATGATTTGATTGAAAACTAAATTTATTCTGTTAATTTTGCACAAATAATTTCTATGAATTTTATCAGAACATGAGTTCCCTTCTCAGAAGTCGGTTCTTAGATTAAACTGAATAAAATTAAATAATATAGTGTGATCTGGGTTCAAACTTTCTATTGATATTTATGATGACAAATAAATTATTAAATTTTTCTATTCCCTAATTTAACCTGCTCTATCTTAATTCTATGCTACAAACATGTACTTATTCTATTCTTATAATTATTATTGTCACTCACTTCAGACCGATCAACAATCCTTTTTTTTTTCTGTCCTTGATTTCTTACGTCGGTACCTTCTCTCTGTAGCGTTGCTTATATCCTCTCCCTTCTAGGCGTCTACGTACTCTCTCCTGGTGATTGTCGATATATGCTAGATGGGACTTCTAGCTCTCCCCTGGTCTCTCGTACCCCTCGAATCTTTTATTGTTGGCTAGGATAATTCATACAATTTTAATAATCTAACCTTTTTAATATTTACGTCTTTCGTTATCTGTATCTCCTGTTACTTTCTTCCAATACAAATTCTTATCTTCAGAAACTTTTCCTTCAGCTTCTCAATAACTTCTCCTCTCGTCTTTGATACTATAATTAGCTGGTAATAATTTAATCTTCGTATATTCTTTTTGACAATCTCCTCTCTCTTCTCCTGTCTTATTTATTATTCTTCTTGTTGTTATTTTTTTTTTCCGTCTCCTTGATTACCGTCGCACTACACACTTAATTTAAAATACAAAATCTCCTCTTTTTATTTAACCAATCAGATCACTTTTAAATTTTACATTTTTAATTTAAATTTTCCAATATTATTTAATTCTCAATTCCCTATCTAATGCCCTTATTTTATAACCACTTTCATAGATTTAGACTAATATTCCTCTAAAATTCATAATCTACTTATAAATTGTCATCAAATTAACTTCCACTGTCATCTAGACATTAATATCTTTTTATCCCAATACTGACATTTAAACCTTTGAATTATTGATTCTTCTCAATATATAGGTAAAACAGTAAAAATGCATATGAAAATGTTGTATCAGAAAATAAAATAAATTAAAACAAAAAAAATAAGATGTCACAACAATGAATATGTCCAGTTTATCATGCACTTACAAATCAATAACACATTTTTGAATAACAATACAATTTGTACACACATACATACATATTACAACACAAAAAAAACGAACTAAGACGCGGGGGATAAGGACAAACAAATTTTTTTGATATGTTTAACATTAGAATTAAATATATCTATAAAAGTGTACAGTAGATCATAACTTCTACACATCTTGTAGAAAGGGGAATAATGTAATATATTACTGATGGCTGTTTTTAAGTAGAACGTTTTAAACTCTTTATTTTGATTTCTGAAGGTTTTAGGTATGACAAAATTTATTCTATGTAATAAATCGGGTACATCAAGAATATAATGAATTACTTTAAATAAAAATATTATAGAATGCATATTGCGACGAACAAGTAGAGAATTGCCTTCAAATCTTCGAAGAATCAGTTCTTGAGAATATCCAATTGGAGGATAGGCATTATCCTCTTTAAATGCTAAGAATTTAAACAGCCTACGTTGCACCCTTTCAACCGCTTCGATATATTTAGTATACTGGTGACCATATCACCGAACAATATTCTATACACCTACACCTACACCAATACACCTAGCTCTTTTACATATTCAGGTCTCGTCAATACCGTGCTAGAAATGCTATAGGGAAATTTGAGAATTTCCTTTTTACGACAATAAGACATAACTGTACATTTACTTATGTTTAACGGAAGTTTATTTTCCTGACACCACACATCCAGCAAGTTCAAACTATTCTGAAGTAAGATGCAATCATCATCATATTTTCGAAACGTAAGCGTGATATTTTTAGTTAGGCAAAACTATTTTCATAAAAATAACCCTAGACTGATATTTGTTTATTTTACTAACTTTTTAAATTTCTTCGCAGGTGGCAAAATATCTAAAAGATAAAGAAAAAAATAAAAGACTATGTCACTTCAGACAATATAAAATATGTGACACAGCATATTTCTTGGAATATCATCATTATATAGTGAAAATTTAATGTCACAAATAAAATACAGGGTGTCCCACAATGACGAGACATTAGACATATTTCAGAGACTACTTCGATTTTAATTTTGAAAATTAAAAAAGCACTGGCTAATTCTAAAAGATGTGTATTTTACCATAATAAAGTGAGAGCAATAAAATTTATAGGGGATATAACTAAAACTCTAAGTTTTCCTGTCAGAATTTCAAAATGGCTTAATTTAATACAGGGTGGTAGAAATTTAATTTTATTTTTTTAAATGGAACACCCTGTATATTTTTTTGCATCCCATAAATTGACGATCCAAAATTGCAATAATACACAGGGTGTCCCATTCAAAATAACGATGATGACGTCAAATTCCTGTATACCCATAAGCGTTAGGTGGACGCCATTATTTTAGTTGAGAAGGGCACGCTCGAAAACACTATTGTCGAAATTTTGAAAATTAAAATCGAAGTAGTCTCGGAAATATGTCTAATGTCTCGTCACCGCGGGACACCCTGTAATATTGTACCATGTGTACCTCTTAATGTATTATATTTTTAATTTATCAAAAGTTTAACCTTGCAAAATTTAGAACATCTCGTTAAACGAAGAAATACAGGATATTTTCATTTCTTTGACATTTTCCAGATCACTGATGAAGCTGATATAGAAACTGCTCTAAACACCGCCCTTGAGTTGGGCTACCGCCACATCGACACAGCTTTTGCTTATGAAAATGAACATTTTATTGGTCGCGTGCTGCAAGAATGGTTTTCTTCTGGAAAACTGAAAAGGGAAGACCTGTTTATCACCACTAAGCTTCCATTGCAAGGTGTACATCCGGATAGAGTAGAGATGTTCATAAAGAAGTCGCTGGAAAATCTCAAACTGGACTACGTTGATTTGTATTTGATCCATTTCCCTGTTGGTCTTAAGTACGTTGAAGGAGAGACAAATCCATCTCTAGTTGATATGCAGACTGAACCAGAAGACCATGTAGGCGTTTGGAAGGTATACCAAATGTTGATATTTAATCTTGATTCTGAGATTTTTCGTTCTCGATTTTCAGAAAATGGAAGAGCAAGTTGACGCCGGTAGAACTAAAACTATTGGACTGGCAAATTTCAATGTCAGACAGATAGATCGGATATTACAGTCTGCTAGAATCAAGCCAGCATGTTTACAAGTCGAACTCCATGTCTACCTGCAACAAAGGGAGTTGGTCAAATTTTGCCTCCAAAATGGATTTGTTGTAGTTGCTTATTCTCCCTTGGGTTGTCCAGGATATAACAAGTCATTGGAGGAGATTGGAGCAGAGTGAGTAATCTTAAGTCAAGTAAAAATACCGTTTTTCATTTATGAATTTATTTCGATCCTTAATTATAGACCTAAGAAGTTGCCAGATATGCTTCACGACGAAACCATCAAGAAAATCGCCACCAAACATACAAAATCTACCGCTCAAGTCATGTTGCGGTACTTATTACAGAGAGATCTTGTAGCCATACCGAAGAGTGTTACTCCTGCTAGAATCAAAGTGAATATAGATGTGTTCGACTTTTCTTTGGACGCCGCGGAAGTAAAAGCTTTGGATGACCTTGAAGTTGGAGAGGAAGCGCGTGTATGCGATTTTAAGATAATCCCTGCGTAAGTTATGGCACTATTTTATCTATTTTAACTGCCAAATCTGGTTCAAACATTCTCTCTATATATTGATGAAATTTTTCATACTCTTAACACACTTGATATTAGTGCCTATAAATCCAAAATTCAATATTAAATAATGATAATATTGAGGAACAAGGTTAATATTTCAATTTGTTGCAGGTTACTGAACCATCCAGAGTTTCCGTTTTCAAAATAGAAGTGTAATTATTAATTAATATCGCTGTTCGAGTTATATGTTACGCATTAATAAATAAAAATATATTAATTATATTATTAGTGTTTTATTATTCAAAATATATGATCTCATAATTTTTTGAAATGCATCACTAGCACATGTGTCTCCATTGAAAAATTACAAGTTGAAAGTAATTATCCACTAAGACTGCATTGTAAACGTGTTGTTTAAAAAACATGTAATGTATTTTCTGTACGTCATAAAAAATCAATACCTACAGTAAATACTAGATATCTTTATACTTACCGTTATTTCAAATCCTGTATGAACTATAAATCTTACATCCTATCCACCTAATATTTATTGACATTGTTGAGGGGGCACTGTGTCTCTAATAATGATTTATATATAAAAAAATTCACTCTCATTTAGTTCAACTCAAACTGTGGACGGTATTCTTTGTTAGTTAACTTTGCAGTTATGGCAGCAAAAATATTTAAGGAATGCCAGGAGGTCTTAAGATGCCCGCCATTGAACTTGGTACTTGGCAGGTAAGAATACCAGAACCCAGCGATATCACGAGTGTTAAAGTAACATTTATTAATGCCTCAACTTTTAACTGAACAACCACTCTAATATTACCTTTATTCGTCGTAGATATGTCCCGCTAATCAACGTCATATTTGACGAGAATTTTTACTTTATTTTATGGGTTTTCAGCAGTACAATGTAACGTCCGATTTGAAGTTTTCTACAACACAAATTTAACGGTTCTTCCAGCTACATTACCATCGCGAAGTAATCGTTTAAAATACACGGTTACTTACTCTAAACAATGTCAGTTTAACGGAAAGTATGAAATTTATTTAACCTTGTATTTAGTTCTTTATTTGACGTTACATTTGAAATAGAATAACTGAATTATAAAAGAATTTAAAAAAATTTATTTGACCTTGACTTTAAGCTTCGAAGTCAAATCAAAGTCAACTTGAAAATATCAAAGGAAATGAAACACCCTACGCCAAATTTTCCGTCCGTATATGGGGTCGGAAAATTTCTCCTGTATGTATTTGCAGGTCATTTGGAGATAAAACTCATTGACCTTCACCACAGTTGCAAGGGCATAATAAGGTCAACTCAATATCAAATGGAAAATGCCATTTTTTGTGCTATCGACCGATACAGCGCAAATATTATGTCGGAATCTGGGATCAAAAAATGTTTCCAGGATGTTCTTGCATGTCACTTGAAGGTCAAACTTACTTTTCACGAAAAATAATGTATACAAAAGTAACAGAATTTAACAGAATACTCAACTAAAACCATTAGGTTCTTTCCACAATAATTTTAACATTTACACATTGTTAGATTACTAACTAAAATTTTTGGCAGACAGATTATGGAGACTGATATCTAAGCTGTTAACTTAGATTGCTGGCATAGAAAATAGAATGTCCCTTCTAATATATTCAAGTCGGCCTTGGTTGTAGATTATGGGGTTATGGGAGCCTGCCAACTCACAGCCATGTTGTTTCAAACTACTGATGTATGAGATCCATGTTCCCATAGAGGTTCAGGGTTTGGTTCTACACTCTCGTAATCCAGGACTATCGGATTCAAGGTTATGGGATTATGAGGTTAAGAATCTACGGGTTTATGGGGTTATGGTCCAATGAGATCATGATATGTAATCATTTATTAAAAACATTAATTGCAAGCTTTTGAATTTTCCCATTCCAACTTGATTTAATTTATTTAGCATTTAACACAAATGTCATTTCCAAACAGAAGATAAATTCCATACAATTCAATTACATCATTAAGGCCCGATACTTTGAGTCTCGGTTAAAGGTTGATTAACTGATCAGGCGATTAGAGTGTACATATAATTACAGTCTAATCGCCTGATTAGTTAATCGAGCCTTAACCGAGACTCAAAGTACCGGGCCTAAATGTATTAAATTTATTTGGTGTTACTATTTGGCAATAAAGCCACCGCTAGAACCGCCTCCTATTGCCGAGTAGAAGAGTTACTACGCTAAATTTTATTGCTAGATGCCGGCTAACAAGACTTCATGTGATAAGACTTTTTAGGAAACGTTTTTCCGAATTTCTTATTTAAATTAGCTAGCTACTACTTTTATAATAGAGCTAATAGAAATTTTCAAGGTTTTGAAGATTTAATACCATGAATGTGTATTTGTCATTAGTAGTTAATCGCAAGGATTAAATTTCAAAGACCCCGCTGTTGACTATAATAACCAAAGCCAATGTTAATAACACTATTATTAAGTTTTTATAACTTAATAAATAGCAACAACTTTATGAATGATGACTGGCTGTTTTCAGGTATGACGGAAGACGACGGACAAAATACGGCTGACACGACATTTTAAATTTATTTTTATATTATGTCAAACTGATCGATACTTCGATTGATTGCTGTGAAATAAAACAAATAATAAACTTCCCACATTGCACTCACTGCTCTGTGCATATAATTAATCCACTTTTAGAGTTCCATCTGTTTCGGAAACTGTTTTGGAGATTAATAAGCTAAGAGGAATCATACGTTTACTTGGATATCCATAAGGTATTGTAGACATGTGACTTAAATGTATCTACATATAAGTCGACCATTTTGCATCTAAGATATTGGTTTTCTTACCAGAATGAATATTTGATGTACATTTGTACATTTTTAGCTCAAATGGAAATCTTAAGCAACTGAGTATAAATCATTATTTTTGGTTATCCAAATAAATAAACATACTTTTCTGTAGTTTTGATGTAGATCTGTTTATGCATATTCATAGTGTCATTTCGTTAATAAAATTAATGCTCCAATTAGGGGCGATGTTTTTTTAACTAAGACAACAATTGATTAAGGCAAATTAGGCTCAATCACTATGTTCTGGCGTTAACAATCTGCCATTAAGCTGTGTACCATTATTAATAACTCACCCTGTATAGACTATGTATCTGTTTACGCTTTTAGAGGACCCATAGAAATTTTACTACTTAGTTACTGTAAGACATACTTGCTCATTAAAGTAAAAGCTTTTGCATTTTGTCGAATACGGTTTCAAAACTGCTAAATTTTTAAACACGTGCCTCTGTTTATTGCACACACAAAATTGTGGACGGTCTCTGCAAACTGTAAACGAAATGCAGTCCTCTATCTGATTTAACTGGTTTACATAAGCCGTAGTTTTATCGTTTTTAACTTCTGTTTCAAGGATTGTTAACCTTCTATCAACAGAACTCATTGAACTGCGAATATAATTTTTCCTTTTTAGAAAAGTTAGAACGTTATATTAAACAATATTTTTCCAAGAATGAAGATTACTTTTTTAAATACTTATAATAAAGTGCAAAATTTGTAATATTTGAACTTTTTTGCCGGTTACTGGCTGTTTTCCAAAATAAAAATATTTTTATATATAATTTTCACTTTCACATCATTTTTTATATTTAGAGCTATTTTTTTATGCATTAATAAATAAATTAACATAACAGTGTTTCATTTTATCACCCAAACAGAATGTGTTGACTATATTAAAATTACTTATTATTGAAGAAAATAGTTCATATTTCAACAGTCAGTGACTGGATCTAAAGTGATAAATTAATCCAAAACCTTCATAAATGTTTACAAACCGCGTGACTGTCGGGTTTAGGTAACCAACATTGTAGGACTGGATGGTAACGAAAAATCCCAAAATTTTGGCGTCACCAATATTAATGATTCGTTTACCATGAACAGTGCGATCGTTGATTGGTTGAATAGAAACTCTTGAAAAATTACACCAATTACAGCCGGTGAAACAAAATGTTGTGTTTTAATGTAATGTTGATCTTACTGTTTTAATAATTTTTAATTTTACCGAAATTTAATTACCAACGTGACATGTAATCATTTATGATGACTCTGTACATTTTAGTTGTATCTGGAGCTGCAAAGCAAATGATAAAGAAATAAATAAAAATATTGTTTTAGTGTTTCAAGATATGATATTCTATTTTTTTATGTAGTTTAAATCCAAGATAATGTTTATTACTAATATGTAAGTGTTTCCACTGAACATTCAAGATAAAGAATCATTGCCCACTTACATTCGATATGATTTAGCTATAGAGATAAATACTGTCTTTTCAAAAACATGCATATGTTTTGCAGGAGCTTTACAAAATATTAGTACTAAGTTCATTATTATATTTATCAGCGTTTCAAATTGCTCTAATTGTAAGTGAAAACCTTACGTCTTATCTAAATTGATAATAATTTATATACTTAACCTGACTGGAGCTATGACAGCAAAAATATTGAAGGATTTGCCAGAAGGTATTAAAATGCCTGCTATCTGGCTTGGTACTTGGCAGTTGAGAATAGTAGTAACTTTAGTAGTATTAAAAATGAAAGTGCTCCAAAGAATCTTTTAAAAATGAAAAAAATTATCAAAAACTTTGTTATTAGAAAAACAATAACTTTAACATCCCTTGAATTCTAATCATCTAATATTATTGTCATTACATAATTTTCCATATGGAAAAATATATGGAAAACCCTCTGTGGATTTCAAAAATACTACACCTATTTTATTTAACAAATTTTATACTAAAAATAAATTTTTTTCTAAACTGTTGTTAATTTCTTTAAATAAGCTCAGTTGAAAGCTTCTAAATTCGTACCATACCGAGGGTGTACCAATAGTGGAAGAAGGCAGATAAATTATATCGTTGACCACATTTCCAGTAACCTACCTCTCCTTCAATGGAGTCAATCTGTCAGCACGACATCCACACCCCCAAATGTCACTTACACCATGTTATAAATTTTAAATATATTTTTTTAAGTGGTAAAATATTAATAAGAAAAAAAGTTACTTATGAAATCTTAGGGGTGGCTTTTTCTACCCCTTACAACCGTAGGAGAAAATCAACAAATTGTTTACTGAGAGCCTTCTCGATAGCAGAAAACGTCAACTTAATTTCATTTGTCACTTTGATATTTTAGAAAAAAATTAAAAACTATATTTTGGGCACCTCCTTAAGCGGTTGTATATTCACAACCTCA